CACCTGTAATCCCAGCTACTCGGGAGGCTGAGATAAGAGAATTACTCGAACCCAGGAGGCGGAGGTTGCAGTGAGCCGAGGTCATGCCATTGCACTCCAACCTGGGCAAAAAGAGTGAAATGCCATCTTAAAATACATACATACATACATAAATAAAAACATGTAGCAAATATGCAACCATATATTCAGTTGTGTGCACATTTTAAAAAATCAGCCTTAAATCCAACTATTTGCTTATCTGCCTGTAAATTTAATTTTTGGTTGAGAAAACATAATCACTGAAGGTGTATGTGGAGAGACAGTGCACACTCAAATCCTGTATGCTTCCTCTGATGTCCCAGCAGCCTCCCTTGCAGTTAGGTGATGTAAACTATGACTGTAAGTATCTTCTTCCTCCCTCTCTCCCCCTGCAGTGACCTTGATAGCTACAAGTGGAGATGGGTCTTTGAGCTATCAGATGGAAGGCTGTCTCGCAGACCTATGCTGGATTTTACATAAATAAGAAATGTAAGTGTAACTTTGTTGTGCTAAGTCACTGAGATTTTTGGGTTTGTTTGTTATTACAGCATAGCTTAACACTGCTCTGACTAATGCCATATACAAAGCTTAAACACGTGTGGGGGTTCATTTCTTCATCTGCCGGCACCCAAGAAGAATTGCTTTCCTAAAAACTTAAAATGTATATAAATTATATGTACTTATTATGGAAAATTATGAAATACAAATAAACAAAAAAGAAAGTAAAAATCATCTATAATCCTCTTGGTCAGAGTTATCTACTGCTAACATTTTGGTGTCCAGACATCATGTTTTTTCTATGTATATAGAAATATAAATTTATGTATATATGCACATAAACTTATATTTATGTTTACATATTATTTTAGAACCTACCTTTTTTTGAGAGAGGAAGAGAGCCCTCTGTCACCCAGGCTGGAGTGCAATAGTGTGAGTACGGCTCACTGAAGCTTTGACTGTCTGGGCTCAAGCAATCCTCCCACCTCAGCCTCTCGAGTAGCTGAGATAGCTGAGACTACAGGCATGCACCACCACACCCGGCTAATTTTTTAACTTTTTGTAGAGATAGGGTCTTGCCATGTTACTGAGGCTGGTCTCAAACTTCTGGGCTCAAGCCATCCACCTGCCTTGGCCTCCCAGAGCACTGGGATTACTGGTGTGAGCCACTGTGCCTGGACACAACCTACTTTTTTATTTCTGTTAATTTTCCCAAAGCGATAAATACTATTCTAGAACACGATTTTTTTTTTTTTTTTTCTGAGATGAAATCTCACTCTGTCGGCCAGGCTAGAGTACAGTGGTGCAATTTCACTGTAACGTCCACCTCCCGGGTTCAAGCAATTCTCCTGCCTCAGGCTCCTGAGTAGCTGGGATTATAGGCTCATGCCACCATGCCAGGCTAGTTTTTGTATTTTTAGTAGAGACAGAGTTTCACCATGTTGACCAGGCTGGTCTCAAACTCCTGACCTTGTGATCTGCCTGCCTCAGCCTCCCAACATGCTGGGATTACAGGCGTGAGCTACCACACCCAGCCTAGAACATAATTGTTAATCATTGCATAGCACTGCGTTATGATAGCACCATGATTTATATACTGTTATCTACTATCTTCTTCAACTGAAATTGCTGCAGTAACATTTCTACTTCTTTTCTACATATTTTATCACTTACTTCCTCTCCTACTCACAGACCAACTCTTAATCATCGACATTCATAGAATGCAAATGAGGTAATCCAAAAATAATAAAAATGGTCATGAAATTCACAATGTGATCATTTGGATGGGGAAGGAAGAAGCAAAGTTTTTGCAGTGCATTCATCCTCATAATGATGATTATTATTCATATTTGCTTGACAAATTTTGGGTTTTATTCTGAGTAGTAATAACTGACTTGGTGGTTGCAAAGGAGATGGTAGGGTAGGTAACAATAGAAAGCTGCTTTAATTAGCATTCCATGTGGTTGCAAGAAACAAAAACAACAATGAACTCAAACTTATAGTAGCTTAAACAAAGACAGAAGCGTATTTCACTCTCAGATAAAATTCTGGAGGTAGACATCCCCATATTGCACTCCCTGGAGTATCAGAGACTCAGGTTTCTTCTACTTATTCCCTGTGGATTTTTTCCATTCCCAAGGTCACTGAGCAAGATCTGAAATGGTTGCTTTAACTTAAACCATCACATCTATATTCCACCCAGAGGAGAGGATATAAAGAAAGATGAAGAGAATGTCTCTTCTAAAATGCATTTTTTTGAAGGTTGAACATATCAAGTTTGGTTAGACACTTGGCCATATGTGGGTCCAAGGGAGGCTGGGAAATGTTGTCTTTATTCTGAGTGTCTCTGTGCCCAGATAAAAATTGGGGATGCTGGGCCGGGCATGGTGGCTCACACCTGTAATGCCAGTACTTTGGGAGACTGAGGTGGATGGATCACTTGAGCTCAGGAGTTTGAGACCAGACTGACCAAGATGGTGAAAGCCCTTCTCTACTAAAAATACAAAATTAGCTGGGCATGGTGGTGCACACCTGTGATCTCAGCTACTTGGGAGGCTGAGGCAGGAGAATTGCTTGAACCCAGGAGGTAGAGGTTGCAGTGAGCCAAGATCGCGTTATTGCACTCCAGCCTGGGTGACAGAGTGAGACTCCGTCTCAAAAAAAAAAAAAAAAAAGAAAGAAATTGGGGATGCTATTGCAATAGAAGAAGGGAAGAATGGGTGTTGGGGGACAACCAGATATTGCTGACATAAGAACCACTAGGTGATTTATAATGCCCACAAGTAAATAATTCAATCCAGCCCCTGATGGAGGAGGATCCAACAAAAGGAAAATATCTATTACATCAACAATAAAATGTAATCAAGCTCTCACAATGAACAGATGGACTAAAAAAATACACGTTCAGTACTTTAATTCCTGTTGGATTTCTGAAATCAGCCAGCTCCTTCGAATGAACATGTGCTAAAGAGAAGAACAACTGATAACCTCTTGAGCATCTTAATTAGCACTGGATTTCCTCAGAATGGTGCTGTGTAATACATCAGAAACTGAGCACAGCAGATTCCAGGCACACCTAGGTCTAATTCCCAAGTCCCTCAAATAAAGGAAGTGAGAAGAGCAGGTCATGTATATAGGGGGAGAAAGCTAGTCACCTTCACACTTCCCAGCTTTTGCTCTCGTGGCTTCAGCTCCCTAGAATCCCTCGTCTCTTCTCTATGTGAAGAAGTGCTGCTCTTCCTTCTCACTCTTTTTTTTTTTTTTTTTTTTTTTTTTGAGACAGAGTCTCCCTCTGTTACCCAGGCTAGAGTGCAGTGGCGCAATCTTGGCTCACTGCAACATCTGCCTCCCGAGTTCATGCCATTCTCCTGCCTCAGCCTCCCGAGTATCTGGGACTACAGGCGCCCGCCACCACACCCAGCTAATTTTTTGTATTTTTAGTGGAGACGGGGTTTTACTGTGTTAGCCAGGATGGTCTCGATCTCCTGACCTCGTGATCCGCCTGCCCCAGCCTCAAAGCGTTGGGATTACAGGCGTGAGCCACCGCGCCCGGCCTCTTCCTTCTCATTCTTGAAGAAACTAGTCAAGTATTTCTTAGGGCGCCTGTTCTTTGACCCTTTAGTTTTGTGTCATTCATTCATTCAGGCATTCATTCATGATAGAGTCTACCATGTACCAGGCAATCTACTAGGCATTGTGGGGTGGAGTGGGGGGACTCAAGGACAAACTAGATAAGACTGTGGCCTCAGGCTGCATATAACACTAATTAGATTAGATTTGTTTAGTCAGACAGCCCAGCACATTGGGGCAAGGGCTAGTAGCCCCGATATGCTGTGCCGTCTGGCTAAACAAAGAATAGATAGCTCCAAGAGGGCAGAAACCTGGTACTTTAATTAGCACATATTTATAGAGCTCTCACTATGTGCTAAGCATATAGCGTATATATATTTCTATTCTATGTGCTTAGAGTATATTACTCTTCTAAATCTTATGACAATCCCATGAGTATGTACTTTTTATCATCACCCTATTTTGCAGATGATGAAACCGAAGCATAGAAAGGTTAAGTAATTTGCCCAAGAACATGCAGCTAGTAAGCAGTGAATGTAAAATTGAATACAAGGAGACTGGCCCTAGCGTGCATGCCCAACTCATATTCTTCACTTCATTACTATTCACACTATTCTGTATTCCCAGTATTGAACAGGATGCCTGGAATCTCGCAGTTATTCAGTAAACATATGTTGACTGGAAATGAGCTGGCTGCTCAACACTGGCCAAGTTATCCTCTCAGCCATAATTCCTACAAAGATAAAAAGAAGTTAGACTGGAAGACCTCTACGATCCCTGGAAATTCTGAACTATGGAATTGTAATTATTTTTCTTATTCACAGCCTAAATCATCTTTTAGCTGAGGTCTGGAAGAGATCTTGTGGGATCATGTGTGGAATTCTGGATTTTAGCCAGACATCCTCCATAGTAACTAGGCGAGAATTCTTTTAGTTTATCAAATCCTTTAAGATGTGTCACCTTTTTGAAGCTAAGTAGTAGGCGATTCACAGATTTTATGAATAATGTATGACAGACAAGATATCCAAAAAGTTTCTTCATAAGATGGATAGGTAAACTGCTTTCCTCTTGCATATACACCAGTTTGGTAGCAAAGAATATTTTGGTAACATTTCATTTCAATTTTAATAAGATAGTGTCCTTAGCTACCAAGAGGTATCTAAGAGTGGACACTGTAATATTTCTCAGGCCTCTATTCTTTGTAAATTTAGCTGCTAACAATGCATTACCTCCAATTAACTGCTCTAAATTACTCTTTCAGATTATACTATTGCATGACATTGTTTCCCAAAGACCTGAGCATACAGTGCCAGGCGTTTGACCAAAGGGCCAGAAAATCCCCATGATCTGACCAAATGCCAGTTGAGGTCATTATGCTTTGGCCAGTTCTCTCCTCCCTACGGTGTCAGTTGGCTACTTTAGCCTTCACCACCCAGCGCATGCTGCTTGGTAATCACTGAGTTGGCTGGACTGTCTTCTCTCGTGAGTACTGTTCAGAAAGAGGCTTTGAGTTGGGCTAACACTGACTGTAGGGAAGAATATTGGTGGTAATAAGCTTCTCTAAGCTGAAATCAACAGAGGTATTATTTTCTCTGTAGGGCTGAAGTCAACAGGGAGCAGGACTGTATACTCTTGCATTTGAGGATTTAACCTACAGCATGTGGTTTTGACTATTTGTTTGACTTTGAAAGTCCCTGATGTAATGATTTATCATTTTGCTGAGGCAGGATTGAACACAAACACTGTGAGAGTGGTAGAAAGTTCATAGTGAGTCACCTCACCAGCTAGGGAGCCTAGTCAACCACCTAACATCTGGGTATGTCTCCACTTGGGTATCTAATATATGATTTATTTTAATTTTCTTGACAGCTTTGTAAGAGTCTTATTATTATCCCCATTTTATGCATGAGAGAATTATATGTTCTAGTGCCGCTCACACATTTAAAAATATTTGGAGATCTAAGAACGAGTTTTTTCCCTCAAAGGTTTATTTTGTGGGAGGAGGGCTGGAGGCAAACTTAGGTAGAGAGACGTGAATTCATAGCACATGCATCATAATCAATGTATGGGGGTTCCTCTCTTGATTGATGGATTGATTTCTTCCTTCATCCCCAATCTCCACTCTTATTCTCTTCCCTCATGAATTCTTGCAAGTGAACCTTATAAATACAGAATTCAGTATGTATGTGTTTTTAATTTACATAAATGACATTGTGTTTACATCTCATTCTCTTTCTTGCTTCTGAAACTCAAAACTAGGATTTTAATGCTCATCCAGGTCACTAAATGTGTATCTAGTTCAATGCTTTGAATTGCAGAGTATTATTCCATAGTAGGCATTCCTGATATTTTATTTAAATATTTCCCTTGTTGTGGACATCAGGATAATTATATGTGTATATATATATTTACTCTACGTAATATATATTATATATCTCCTATCTATATATGTGGGATTGATGTCATAGCACATATGTACATTCACTTCACTAAGAACTGCCAGATGGCTTTCCAAGTGGTTGTACCTGTTTACACTCCCACCAACAATCCATGTCACATTCTTGATATTATTTATCAAAGTTTTATTTGAGTCGATTTACCAATTTTCTTAAGTCTTTGTATAGTGGAACAATTAACTGGAAATCTTAACAAAAGAAAGGTAGGAAGGAGTTAGGCAAGCTGTGACTTTCCTGGCCCCTTCCTCAATAATTTCTGTCTCCCATTCTCCTCTCCTGTCCTGTGTTCCTTATTCCCTTCAGATTGTTCCAGAACCTGCTACAAGAAATTACTCTGAACTTTCTCCCTGAACCACTTCCTTCCTTTTCATCAGTTATTTTTTCCTTCCTTCCTTCCTTCCCTCCTTCCTTCCTTCTTCCTTTCCTTTCTTTCCCTTCTTTCTTTTCTTTCTTTTTTTCTTTGACAGAGCCTTGCTCTGTCAGCCAGGTTGGAGTGCAGTGGCGCTATCTTGGCTCACTGTGACCTCCACCTCCTGGGTTCAAGCAATTCTCCTGCCTCAACCTCCCGAGTAGCTTGCACTACAGGCATGCACAGCCATGCCCAGCTAATTTTTTTTTTATTTTCAGTAGAGATGGGGTTTTGCCATGTTGGCCAGGGTGGTCTCAAACCCCTGACCTCAAGTGATCCACCTGCCTCAGCCTCCCAAAGTTCTGGGGTTACAAGCATAAGCCAATGCGCCTGGCCTCATCAGAGTTTTCTATGCACCTCAATAGAATGTTCTCCATCTCCTTTCTAGGTCTCCAAATTCCTCCTATTTTGTGAGGTACAAGTTAAGAACCAATTCCTCCATTGGAGGAATTCCTCCAATTCCTCTCTAATTACTCTAGCCTACACTTGTCTCTCCTAATTTTGACTACATATATCATGTTTGGGGGTCTTATTTTTATTCAGTTTAACTCTATTATGTTCCATGTTGTTTCCAAAAAGAGAAATTGGGCAAATAAGATGTATAGCGTTTGGTTAGCTTCATTCTTCCAGGAGGTCACTAGTTGTGGACCACAGACTACATCTGACTTACACTCACCAAGTTCTTGTGGGAAAATCAGATACATGCACCAGGCAATATTACCTACCACCTTGAGTCAATCTTCTATAGGATTATAGAAAGATTTTGTCAATAGTAGAAATACATAACAAGCATTACATCTGCAAAATATATAACTAGGCAGTCTTACAAAATCTCTCTCTCACTGGTTATATATATATTTATATATATCGAAAAACTTCGAGTTTGTGGAGGTAAAAAGTATGAGGTGGATCCCAGGAGCTTCTGTGGCACTCTCCACAGAGCTGTAGCCTGTTCCCAGCAGGTGCTGACCTCATTGATCTTTCAACAACCACCTGCTCATTACCTGAACAACAAGGTTCCTAGAAGACACTGATCTTCTTTTTTCATCTCTTTCCCATAATTGAGCCACCAAAATTAAATAATTCAGAGAAATACTCTTACCCACCACTGTTACACTATACTATTTTGCATTCTCTGTTTTCTGCATACAAACTCTACATTGCAAAGGGCACCACTAATTGCTTAACCAAAATTTACTTTCTTCTTTCTTACAGTCAAAACTTTGACGTTATCCAAGATGGCATGGGTCTAGCTATAAAACTACCTTTCCCAGTCTGTTTGGCAGGTGGAAGTCTATGTGACAGTTGTTGCTATTAAAATAAAAGCCACAGCTATGGTGTAAGACTTTCTAGAATGCTCTTTTTCTTTCTTTTTGAGACAGGGTCTCGCTCTGTCACCTAGGCTGGAGTACACGATCATGGCTCACTGTAGTCTGGAATTCCTGGCCTCAAACGCTCCTCCCACTCAGCCTCCCAGGTAGCTGGAATACAGGCATGTACACCATGCCTAGCTAGGTTTTTTTTTTTTTTTTTTTTTTTTTTTTTTTTTTTTTTTTTTTTTAAGAGATAAAGTCCCACTATGTTGTCCAGTCTGGTCAAGAATGTTCTCTAAAAGGAAACAACTCAGTTGGCACCCACCGATGCCCTCATCCTTTCTTTTTCTTTCTGCTTAGAATGTGGTCATGATGGCTGAGGATAGAGGTGGAGCAGGTGCCATGCTGCTCTCATGAGATGGAGACCACATACTCTAAGAAAGCTGAACAGAAAAATAAAAGGTGTCTGAGTCCCTGATGACATAATGGAGCTACCATAACCACCATGGATATCATCTAGGTGCTTTGTAATATAAAAAGAATAAACCCTCTAATTGGTTCAACCACTGTGTTTGCATGTTATTTATTGCATGCAGTCAAACTCAAATCCCGATTGTTATTTGTTTGCTTTTGACAAACCTGTACTCCCAAAGAATCTTGCAGTGGTTCAAAGGCAGCCTGATAGGGATCTGTTCATCCTTAAGGAGAGCCCAGTGGTTCTCCAGGTCAGACCTGTGGTGTTCACTTATCAAGCTTGTGAGCTCTGCTTCTCTTGCATCTTACCAACTTTCTGTGGCTGATACGGGACATCACCCCTGGTTTAGAGGTTTGTAACAGACTTTCTTCCTTACTAGTGGAGACTTCCTTTAATCGGAAAGACATCAAGTGCCACATGCTTACTTTCCTAGTTTCCTTTGCGGTGACAGTATAGACATGTGACCTAATCTGGTCCAAAGAGACCAGAAGGGAAAGCAACTGGAACACGTGGAAACAAATGTCCTTTCTTCTTCACTGGAAATGATGCCTAGAAATGTTGAGTCATCTGTGGTCAGTGGCATGGAGAGGATGGTAAGATATCGATGGGAAGCACTTGGATGCCTGGCACACCTCTCTGTCATATCCCCAGCCCTGGATGCCAACTGCCTTTGAACATCTGCCTATTGTTTACACCACTTCTAAGGATATTCTGCTCTTGGCACTTAAAAGGACTCCAATGATACAGGGGTGTCAGAATAGGGCTGGTCGCCTGCTTCAGCATTTCTTTTCTTTTTTTTTTGAGATGGAGTTTCGCTCTTGTTGACCAGGCTGGAGTGCAGTGGGGAGTGCAGTGGTGCGATCTCGGCTCACTGTAACCTCTGCCTCCCGGGTTGAAGCAATTCTCCTGCCTCAGCATCCCAAGTAGCCGAGATTACAGGCATGAGCCACCACATCCGGCTAATTTTTTTGTATTTTTATTAGACAAGGTTTCACCATGTTGGCCAGGCTGGTCTTGAACTCCTACCCTCAGGTGATCCACCCGCCTCAGCCTCCCAAAGTGCTGGGATTACAGGCATGAGCCACTGCGCCCGGCCCTGCTTCACCATTTCTAAGTCTCTTTCTTTAGAGTAAGCTCCTCAATGCCTTAGCCAGTTAGACCTCTGGGTACCTGCTTGGCTGGTCATTCAAACGTGCCCAGACAGGTCTGAATCTGCAAGGAGTATAGTGTAAATGTCATGCTGGGACTCTTCCTTTGCATGTTTAATATAACCCCCATTTAATATTGCACATTTTCATACAATGACCACTGTGTGGCATGCTGTTATTTTTTAAAATAGTAAAACAATTTTTATGCTTGATGAAAAATATTTATACGGAAAACTAATTGTTAAAAAGCAATCAATAGTTTATTTAAAAATCCACAAACATGAATTAAAATATATGCAATCAAACATAGCCCCAAATTTTTATCACTTAATTAAAATATTTGAAAATAATTTTCACTTTTCTTAGGAACAATCCATAGCATTCAAAGAGGATGCCAGAGGATACATACTTTATTTGCTACAAATAAGTATTGTATTACTATGGCCACACTCTAATATTTCTTCAGATGTGATATTTGCTCCTAGTCAATCTGGTGGTATTAATTTGCTTTCTAAATCAGGCAGGGACTGCAGGACAGATAGGCTGAATATTTAATATTTCTGTTCAAAACTTCAAGATACATGTACCTTTCAAGTTGCTCTTCAGCCTCTTTCTTGCCACAGCAGGAGTGATGCTTAGATGGTCAATTCTAAATGGAAGAACTCCAGCCCTCTCTAACTCACACAAAGTGCTTAGTTGAAAAGAGAACCTGGCCGGACGTAGTGGCTCATGCCTGTAATCCCAGTTACTCAGGAGACTGAGGCACAAGAATCACTTGAACCCAGGAGACAGAGATTGCAGTGAGCTGAGATCACACCACTGCACTCCAGCCTGGGCAGAAGAGCAAGACTGTCTCACAAAAAAAAAAAAAAAAAAAAGAAAAGTGAAAATTTCAGCCAATCATCTGAATGTGTCAGCCTCATAGCAAAGCATTGGAATGATTAATTTTTTTTTTTACTTTTCACAGAGATTTGGGCAAGGTAGAGATACAGTTTTTGTTTTTGTTTTTTTTTCCTGAAGAAGATACCAAATGACCAAGAGGAAATCTCTGATTTGAAATTACTAGAGAAAATTAGCCAATACCTTTGTGTATTATAACTACACATCGTTATCAAGAATGTTAAGACTCCTGAATGATGAAGTGGTATTCCAAGAAGAAAGACTGCTAAATAGAAATGTGGGGATTCTCTTTTAGAAGAGATTAATTTGGTAAGGAAATAGTTAGACTTGGATTCTGGGTCAATCAGAAACCAACCCTGGTCCAAATAAGAATGAGATAAATTCTTTGTGTAGCTATCACTAGAGAGCTTTGACTCCCATTCGGGTTGCATTTTGATTTTTATTCTATTTGCAAGAACCCTAGGGAGGGGGAGGGTCGCTGGCATCCCTAACCTAGTTCCCAACAGGGACACTGCCCATATTAAACAAGTGCAGGAGGGATGGGAGAAAAAAGAGCTTTTGAGAACATCATGTGCCTTCCTTAGCAGTGCTCGGGGCATTGGTGGACACGTGACTGGAGAACAGTACTCACAGAACCAGGGCAGAAAGGAATCCGAAAAGACAAATCATCCTAATTTATACAAATGAGACCAGGGTTTCCTCATTATTGGCAGGTTCTGGGTGAAATCTCAGATCTCCTGATTCTTTCAGTTCAGTATTCTTCCAGGACATCATTTGGTCAAAAGCTATTAAGAAAGTAAAGGGGAAAAAAAGAAGATGTTGCAACTTTGTGTATCAATCATGGGTATGAGTTTGCTCCTAGAAGCAAGGGATAGGTATTTGCTACGGGTCTCTAAATTGAAGAAAAGACTTCACCAAAAATGCCAACATATTCCTCAAAATAACAGTCTAATTTGGATGAGAAGGACTGCTACAAACATGATGACTCTGAGAAATGTCACTCACTCCTCCCCACCTCCAGCACTCTGGCCAATGGATAAAGACAAAGAACTGGGTTAAACGGGAGCCAAAGCATAAGCATTATTAGGGCCTCAGTGGGCTTTCCTTGTGTCTGTGCCACATGGGGTCAGTGGATGCCATGAAATGGGCTGGGGGTCTGGTCTCTCTTCTCCCAGTTCCAAAGGAGAGTGTGAGGTGGGGATGCCAGCCATGCTCTAGACCACTCTGCCTAGGAGCCAGCGACCTTTGAGGAAGCACTTGTGTACCTCACCAGATTGAACGGGCCAGCCGGGACCCCGTGCAGCGGGCCCTGTACAGAGAGGGGATGCTGGAGCATTATGCGGGGTGGCATCCCTGACTTTTTCATTCAGCTAACCTGTTCTGGTCTCCTAGCCAGAGAAAGGGGAATTCCCATGGAACCCCTATCTCTGAGAATCTCTGGACAAACCAGAGGTGTCTGTCCAGGGAGTGAAACCATAAATGAGAAGGAAGGACTCATTCCAAAGGAGCGTAGGTCCAAAGAAACAGAGTGCCTCTGGGAAAGTGACACTGCGAGGCCTGCCAGGGAATATTCCCCAGCACCTAGATTTTGGGAGCAGCCTAGAGCAGCCCTAACATCACTGGATGGTCAAGACAGAGTCAAAGAGGGGAGATTTCACAGATGGGTCCACCAGGCTTCAGGAGGCCTGTGCTGATGAGAGAGGGGGAAAGTGTGAGAAATTAGGAAAAAATGTTAGCGTCAGCACACAACTCTACAAATCAGACAACTCCTACCGGTCAGATAGCTTACGAATGTGGAAAATGTGACAGGTATTTACACCGAATGGCAGACTTCCACTGACATCAGAGAAGTCACGGTGATGAAAAGTTTTGAATGCAAAGAATGTGGATGATTTCAGATGTAGCACGTTATTTGTTTGGCATCAGATAATGCACACTGGAAAGAAACCATTTAAATGTAAAGAATGCGGAAAAGGTTTAAATTCAGATGCAGTCTTGATTCAGCTTCAGAGAATCCACACTGGAGAATCTCCCTCTGAATGTAGGGAGGGTGGCAAGGCCTTCGGCAACAGCTCAGTCTTCCTTCAGCACCAGAGGTTCCACACTGGGGAGAAACTCTGTGAGTGTAACAAAGTTGGAAAACTTCTAGTTGTAGCTCAGGCTTCATTGTCCATCAGCAGTGCACACTTGGAAGAAACCCTGTGAATGTAAAGAGTCTGGGAATCTATTAAGCACAGCCTTGACTCAGGATCAGTGAATTCACACAGGAGAGAAGCACTTTACATGTAAGGATTGTAAGAAGGCATTCAATCAGAAAATAACCCTGATTCAGTACGAGGGAGTTCACACTGGTGAGAAACCTTACGAGTGTAAAAGGTGTGGGAGCCCCTCAGCTGGTGTGGAAACTTTGTTACGCATCAGAAGCCACACGCTCAAAAGGCACCTATTTAAGCATAGGGTTAGCCACCGCCAGGCTCACTACACCCCTCTTTGTTTCTCTCTCTTTCATGATCTTTAACAGTGTCCCCATTGTCTCTCGTGGACTGTGTTGATTCTTAGCCATATGCCTCTGTCCCCACAGCTCTGCATATCTGGAATGCCCGCTTCTCCACCTGTCCAGTCATATATTTAATTCAGACTCTTGGCTTCCATCATGAAACGTTCCTCAAATTCTCTGAGCCCTTGCCTCCCCAACGTGAACTCTCTTTACAGTTAGAAAAGAAATAAAAAACAAACTCCAGACTTTCAAACATAAGACGAATATGAGTTTCCAGATTCAAGAATACGCCAAATGCCCAGCAGGATGGATTGGGGGGAACCCACATTAAAGAACACTACTGTGATTTATGAAAACACCAAGCTTAAAGAAGAAATCCTAAAAAGTTTCTAGAGAGAGGAAACAAAAGATCAGAAATGAGCATGGCATTAGATTTCTCAACAGCAACCTTGAAAATTAGGTGACAATGGTGTATGTCTTCAAAGTTCTAAGGAAAATGATTTCCACCCAGAATTCTATACCCTCAAGGGTAAGTATAGAATA